GTACAGGTAAGAAGGGTTTGCCTTGGTAAGGAGTAAGGCTACCTCTTCATGTAAGACAGGTATGAAGGATAAGATAATGGCAGAAGGCATCTAATTTATATGAAATGAGGAAGAGGGGGAAAGAGAGAGATTATGGTGAATGGCCTCAATTTTTTCTGAAATATGAGGTAAGGTTCTCTGAAACACCTACTAAGTTGCCACCCCTTCTACGTCCACTCATGCTGAAATCTGGTCCTGAGGTGGTTATGAGTAAACCATAAGCCCTTGGCAAGTAGAGTACAAAACTCTCCCACTCCATCATCTGAACAGACTGGATGAGAAGTTACTCCTGATAAAATCTGTCTGAAAACGACATATAAGCAAAAGGGTAGACACTGTGCCTATCAATACCCTTTTTATGCCTGTTTAATATCAACTGGGTAAGTGAAATAAGTATTTCATAAATATTTATTTCATAAACATGTATTATCTTAATGAATTGCATGGCATGCCAACTAAGAATATTTCAATCTGTAGTGTTATCTTGAAATTGGCATTCACTCTATTTTTTTCCCCCAAGACTAGATTTCCCCGTTTTCCCCAGGCAGGTGGTACATTAACTACTCTTAGGCCTAATTGCACAGGAGGTTTGACCTGCTCTGTTTTTTACCTGCTCCTCTTTAGTCAATCTGGTCTCCACTCAACATATTGGTGCAAGACAGTATAGACACCTGATCTGCTTAGCCCACTGATGCTGAGAACTTGAAAGCTCTCAAAAGATAAGATATTCATCAGTCTCTTCCTCCCCAGTAGCAGGGATTACAAAAGTGAGCAACCATACCTGGTGACATTCACTCTTTAACAATTTTTTTATTTCAGTATAGTATCTGGTATCTGACTAGTGCTCAATAAAAGCTAAATAATGGCATCCTGTCTATACAGTGATGACATTATGGGTCTGTGATTTTTCTAGTAGTAGGGACTGGTTGTTTTGAGTCATGAATTCATTCTTCCCTCAACCTCCTTGTGATCACTAACATGCTTGTGCAAAGGCATAGTGAGGAAAGGACTTTTTTCTACATGTACAGCTACTGTATGGGGCAGCTAGGTGGTGCTGGGACTGGAGTCAAGAAAACTCATCTTCCTGAGTTTAAATCTGGCCTCAGAAACTTACTAGCTGTGTGATATGCAACCCTGGGTAAGTCACTAAATGCTGTTTGCCTCTGCTTGAAACAAATGAACTGGAGAAGAAAATGGCAAACCACTCCAGTATTTCTGCCAAGAAAACCCCAAATGGGGTCATGAAGAGTCAGACACAACTGAAAAAAATGACTAAACAACAAAAAAAAGCTGCAAAGCACACAACCTTGATTCTATTAGCACTATAATGACAATAAATGAACAAAAACTCTTACAAAGGCATAAAGGAATCAATCAATCAACAGTGAATGAATGAATCAACAAGTACTTTTTAAGCACTAACTATACCAGGTACTGTGCGAAGTACTGAGAAAACAAAGACAAAAATTAAATAGTCTACTATCAAGAAGTTTACAGTCTATCAGGGGAAACAACAGGTACACCTGTGAATAGATAAAAAAATAAATACAGGATAATTCAGGAGGTTGGAGGAAGGCAGGAGAATCTAGGGGTATCAGCAAAGGCCTGGTGGAGGAAACAGAGTTTGTGTGAGCTCTGAGGGAAGCTGGGGTTCCTGTTACTTATTACAAAAAAAAAAGTATTTTTCTACAATAACTCACTTTATTCTATATTTCTGAGAAAATAAATATTAGTAATAATTCCCAACACTCCCCTTACCAACTGAATTTATTGATGTGTTAATCATTGTTCTTATACAAAGAAAAGAAAGTTTAACAAAGAAGTTCTTAATGATTCTCACCATCATTGCCTTTCTCTATTGAGTTTGTCATTTAAAAGGAAGTATTACTGAGTTGCTAAAGCCATGATACTACTGTGTATCATGTGTACTGTGGAGCCATGTGTACTGGCTCCAGTTTGACCATTAGCATTCTGGGTCATCTTGGGCAGGTTATTTAATTTTTTTGTGTCTCATTTCCTTTATGTGTGAAATGGAGATAACAGGGCTCAGCACTTACCTCATAAGAGTGTAACAGGGATTAATGAGAGAGTGTTGGGTCAAGCACATTATTCCTTTGATGGAATACACACAGAATATCATTAGTATAATTTTTAATATTTTTTGGGGGGGGGATTGGACTTGTTATTTCATTGTTATAGGCAACTCCCAGGTAGAAAAGTCCTTCTACCAGTGTAAGTCAGCAATTGTTCTGTCACTTACAGACTAAGAGAGTTACCTGGGCCACTCACTGAGAATTGAAGGTATTTGCCCAGGCTCAGTCAGTTTGTATCCAAGGTAGGACTGAACCTAGTTATTCTTGACTCCACAGCTAGCTTTCTGTCTGTTACAACATACTGTCTAATTTTTAATTTATCAATTAAAATAGACACTGTGATTTTTTTTACATTTTTATTTTACTTTTTAAAAATTGTAAGTAAAGCATCACATTTCCAAATATATTTTTTAAAGAATTGTTTTAAAATTTTAATGTTAAAACAAAACATCAATAAAACTTAAAAGAAAATGAAAAAACAACATAGTCTTCTCTTTACATCTCCCACTTCAACCCTAATTTTACAGATGAAAAGAAAATTAAAGGAAATAGTCAACAATGGTCAATAAACATGTATTAAAAACATGTATTAAGCACCTACTATGTGCCAGGCTAAGTTGAAAAATAAAAAAATTTAAAAGTGATTTTATGTAATTATAATGAAAAGCTTTATTTAACTCTTAAGATTTGTCATTTGTTTTAGATATACATTTAGGCCATGAATTCATGCTATAACTTCAGTTTCTAATCTGTTTGGCATTAAAAAACAGTTCACTGAATACCTAGATGTGGAAGAAACCAAAAAAGATCATCTCTTCTAATCACCTCATTTTAAAAGATGAGGGAAAGATATAACACTCATACAGGTTAAGTGACTTGACCAAGGTTATTAGTGGTAGGGACAAGACTAGGTAGGACCCAAGTCTCCTGCCTCTCATTTCAGTCCTCTTTCTATTAAACTAGGTGACTATTTTATATGTACCTGTCAGTTTCAATGTGCCAAAGATAATTCTCTCCTCTTACCCAACTAACAAGTAGCCTAGAAAGAATTTATCTTTGGCATTTTTTTTTTTTGATAGATTGTGCCATCAAGGAGGCCAGCATTTTGCAAGGTAAGTTTATAAAGTCTAAAGAGCATTCAGGTGGTTAGTACCATTAATAAGTAAACTCAATTAAAAATCAATTAAAAAAAATTTAAAAGCAAACAATCATCAGAAAGGAAGAATCTCCAGAAAAAATAAAACTTAATTTCATCATCTACACAAATAAGAAATCATAAATGAGATGTACGAAGCATATATAATGCATGCACTGGACTGACACTGACCTTTTAGGAACGAAAGTTTAATAACTCAACATCTTAAATGACTTTCTTTACCTTGCACCTCTGTGGAGGCAAGCATACAGGGTTGTCTTAGATGTCCAGATTGTTAGCTTCTATAGTGTAGGACTATTCTAGTAAAAAGTATATCTTTATTGTTTCCTGTTTTTTAAATTGATTTTTAAGTGAATGTACTTACTAATGAGGTACTGACAACCTGAATGCTCTGTGTTCTTTATAAACTTATTTTGCAACAATCTGGCCTCTTTGGTGGCACAAGCCATCCCTCTCCGACCCCCCCAAAAAAAGGTAAAATGACAAATCCTTTCTTGGCTACTTGTTGGCTGGGTCAGAGGGAGAAATCATAGTCTAATACAGCCCCTCTTCAGTGGGGCACTTCAGAGTAGTAATAAACCCCTCCACTTCCACATCCAGTGGAGTTGTATGTAGTTTATTACCATAGCCCTCCCAAGTCAAATGGACACCAGTTTCCAGCCTTGCAACTAGTGCAGCTGGGGTTTCCTTTGCTCCAACCCACTTGGCTGTGTCTTTCTACCTGTCCTTTCCCTGCTGTCTACAGGTCCTGAATGTTATAAAATAGAAAATGTGATGATCTTTGTGTATGAGTGTGTGTCTGTGTAAAATGTGTGTATGTGTGCGTGTTTGGGTGTAACGGGCCGTCTGTATGGCTGGCTAGACTGTCCCTCAATCTCTTGGCCAATGGCAGGCTGCCTTATATAAAATTAGTGTTTTCAGTCTCTCCGGGTTGCATGTACTGTATGTGGAACAGTGTACAGTGAAAACGGAGGCAGAGCGGCTCTGAGAGCTCCTCTCTTCACTTTCCCATAGAGAAACACTGACTGGCCACTGAGAGAGACACACACACACATTTAACACACACAGGGAAAGAGGTAAGTGCCCACCATCCCCAGCCTCTCCTTTGCGAAACGAGCGAGAGAGGTCCCTTTCCCGACACTTTCTTTTTTTAATACTCACTTGAAAACAGCCGGGCTGCAGCCCCAAGGACTCTTCCAGCAGTAGCAGCAGCAGAAGCAGCAACAGCAGAAGGAGCAGCAGCAGCCGGTAGGGTAGGGTGGACTTGAGGAAGACCGAGGGGGAGAGAGGGAGAGAGAGAGAGAGAGAGAGGGAACCTTAGCAAGTCCTGTGCTGCTGCTACCCCGGCCACAATTCCTAATCACTCCCCCCCCCCCACACGAAAACTTTGGATTGGGAGAGGTTCGGGGGAGATGTTCGCCTCTCTTCTGTTCCCCTTGGGGCAGGAGGGGGAGAGGTGAATGCAATGCAATGCATGCAAGAGGTTGGGGAGGGAGGGGGGGAATAGTAGGCCAGCCAGTGCCAGGCTGCGTTTGAAACCAGTACCTCTCACCACACAGGCAGCAGCAGTGGAGAGAGGGGCAAAAAGGGAGAGCGAAGCAGACCCGGGAGGAGGAGGAGAGGGAGGAGGAAGAGGAGGAGGAGGACTAGGAGTAGGAGGACGAGGAGGAGGAGGAGGAGGACGAGGAGGAGGAGGAGGAGGAAGAGGAGGAGGAAAAACAACAACAGAACCACCACACTGACTGGCAAATTGTGGCTGCCCATGAAGCCCCCAAACTTCATTACGGGGGAAAGTGCGTTTATCTGAAGGTTGGTTCATGGTTTGGGAGGGGAGGGAACGGGAGGACGAGGAAGGAGGGGGAGGGGGGAGAGGGGTCAGAGGGAATTAGAAGAAGGTATTATTAACATGGGGGGTCCCCCCCCCAGTTTATTTATTTATTTTTCTTGGTTTGGTGACCAGGAAAAAGCAGCTTAGTTGTTCGTTCATCTTGAGAGTTGGAGATTTGGGTTTTCCGGCTCCGCAGATCTAATGCCCTCTCACCCTCCACCCTTAAGCAAACGTGCAGTTAGTAGAGAAAGTGGTGTTTCAGTGCGAGAACAGCCGGGAGGAAGGAAAGAGAGGGAGAGAGAGAGAAGAGGGAGAGAGGAGGGGGAAGAGGAGGAGAGAGGCTGTGTCAGGATTTTGCATGAATGTGGGATTATGTTGTGTCAATAAGTTTAAGGTGGAGAGAGCGAGGCTGGGGGTGGGGGTGGGGGGGAGGAGGAGGAAGGCCTTCGCTGTTTAAAGTCTTATTTCTGAAGGTAAGTTATGACATTGCATGGTCGCGATGACAGAAAACTTGGAGATCATTTATCCAGGGATGGGGCTGATGCCTTTAGCAAGGGTTTCTCAGCTCTCAGAGGCCACATTCGTGTTACACTGTTATTTGCTGTGATCCGGGTCGCTAGTAAATTACAGAAATCAGACCCGAGCTTTCTTTTCCTTATCCACCTCTTCTCCCTCGCTCGCTCTCAAAAAAATTTTTTTGGGGGGTATTGTATGAAACTTACATGACTGAGAAAACCCAAGTCCTGTAATTTACAAAGATCATTAATTCGGGGATATGTGACACTTTTATGTGTGAAATATCTGTAATCGTTTTAGCTAAATGAGGAAGGTAAAAATGAAACGATGCAAAAAAAGCTAAGACACAACATGTACGACAGAGGGGGGGGGTGGAGAGAGAGACGGAGAGAGAAGCTATTTTTTGCTTTCCTTTCTGTAGAAAGGGGAAAAAAATAAAGCGTGCATTCTCCTTCCCTCGCAGTGTGCAGGGTCTAGTCAATATTTTAAGTGTCTGAGGACAAATTAGTCCAGGCGGATCTAGTTTAAAAGTTTCGAGAGGTGGGGTGGAGGTTGGGTTGGGGGGGGAGAAGTGAGGGAAGGTGGGTGGAGGGTGTGGGGGATGGGGACGAAACAAGCTTTGCTCCTGCTGATGGTCACTGGCCTGGGGCTTTGAAACCATTGCCTGTCCTACTAATGACACGTTCAGTTCACTTCTCCCAGATCCACACACGGGGTTACCTACCTTCCCCGATCTGAGCTAACATAGACGGGTACTTTCCCCATCTGGATAATCGCACGGGGAGAGGCGTTTTCCCCTTCCCTTTAGATTAACCTAGTCTGGGAGTGTGGGGGGGAGGAGGGAACTTGTCCTTCTCCTCCTCCTCCCTCCACCAACAGCGCACCACTACCACCGCCTTCCCTGTCCCTACTTTTATGATAACCTCCCCAGGAGCATTCCTCCTGGTCTTTTAATTCTCACCAGTGAACAGCACCGCGCCCGCACACCCCACCCCCGCACTGTGGGGGCACTCCTCCCCCAGCCCCACATTATCACATGCGCTGTATAGGGATGGTCCAAGCAGGGAATGGTATCGCTCATGTGGTTCTAGAAGCAGCACCACCTCCCCGGTGGCAGTAGAGGCAGCAGCGGCAGCAGCGGCAGCAGCAGCAGCAGCAGCAGCAGCGGTGGCGGCGGGATCATCGCCGGGGCCCGCGGGGAGGAGGAGGAGGAGGAGGAGGAAGAGGAGGAGGAGGAGGAGTAGGAGGAGGTGTTTTCTGCCCTGATCACAGCCAGTTTGATTCCCGACATGTCGTTTGAGAAGGCGGAGAGAAGGGGGAGACCCCACTCGTTGCCTCTTCCTCATTGAAAGGTGTTTTGCAGACTTTTACGCCGGGAGTGAGATTTGCACTTCATTTTTTTCCTCTTCCCCAAAGCAAGATGGACTCTATTCTGTTTCTCTTTCTCTCTCTGTCTCTGCCTCTGTCTTGTCAGCCTTTAAGATCGACATTTTGTACTAAGATGCAAACTTGATGGTGACCAGCAACAAAGCCTGGGTTAGATCTCTCTCCATTTTAATACTTCCCCTCAATCCCAACCTAGCAGACCCCGATGGCCCTGCACTTGCCACGATTTTGGCGAATGTGTTTTCCTTGCTCGATTCAGATCTCTAATCCGTGGATTGCGATGGGGGTGGGGGGAAGAGTTGGCGTTTTGACGACTGTTGTAGCTGCTCAGGTCTGCTGGGGAATGGGCAGTCGTTACCTGAACAACTGTGAGGCACAACGTTGCAACCTACAGCTTCTGTGGACGGCGCAGTCTTGGGGCTAGCTATCGATTGCTATGATTCTGTTTCTGGTTTATTTATCCTCGGTGGTGGTGGTCACTTGGGCAAGTTGATGAATGATCGCGGGGAGGTTTTGCGTTGGCAAAATGGATCAACTTTCTGCTTTGTACATATGGGAAGTAGAGGAATGGAGAGAAAGGGGGAGGGGAATCAGGGTGGTGGAAACCAGCTAGATACCAACAAATGATTGTTGGTCTTACATAGCCCCTGTGCCCTTTGGAGACGTTAGTGCATCTTTTCCCTTGCTGCCTATGATTTCTTTTTCCCTGGAGAAGGAAGGTCGCTTGCTGTTTAATAAGAACCTCCTTTAAGAAGCAAGCCTTGAGTTTTGGGGGCTTCTTCACTGTTGATATTGTGTCGATTCGGAGATATTGCAAAATGATGGTATACTGATGATCTGCCTTTATTTGATACTTTATAGGTCACTATCACATGACAAAGGCTTCGAGACAGCTTCTTCTTCCCCTGCCTGTAATTTCCATTTGCCTTCCTAGGTAAGTATGCAAACTGTTCATACAGGAAGAGAGAGTGATTATTAATAATAAAATGAGGGTTCTTAATAGTTTCTTGTAGGAAGATGCTTTGTCAGATTTTAACATCCCCAAGAGGCATGTCTGTCCTATGTTCCCCCAGTGGATGTTAATTTATGATGCTTAAGGTTCAGCACTTTGGGGGTGGGAATTTTTTAAAGATGGTGACTTTAAATGTTATGTTCTATTCTCCCTTCCCTGGAGCAAGTTTAAAAAAAATTTAAACATCTATTGAAACCTTGATTATATGCAAATAAGCAATTAAATTGAGAAACTTTTAGCACAATAGGTGAATGAGTAGGATATGGAAAGACTTAAATATCTTAAATTAACTTCTTAAATTCAGATAACACTTCTGAAAGACAGGAGGCCATCAGTTGAAACTGTTGGTAAAATTTCTATTTGATGATTCTCCAGAACTCCCCCAAAACTCAAAGAAGTAATTTGTACAGGATCTGTATTACTGTAGTGATTGACATTTGCACAGTGCATCATCCACCCCGTCCCTCTTTCTAGGTAATCTATGTCATTTGTGAAAGTAGCTATATTTATGAAAAATAGTTCATCTAGATAGAACAGTGTATTGAAAAGCAAATGCAGGTGACCATATTATTGGAACTTACCTCACATACTGTGTATTTGGAGAAGTTTCAAACTTTGGGGCAATGTGTTAAAAAAACAAACAAACCCAACTTTGAGGTTATATATATTTTTGAAGCATCTGTCATCCCTACTTTCTCACCAAAGAGAAGAAGCAGTAGGTGGTTGGCTGCAAGTTTCTAGTGGCCGAGTTATAGTAGTACAATGTGAAAGTTAAGGATTCATTGAATATTTTAAGTTAATATAGTCATCCCAGTTGCTAAAGAACTTGATTATAAATCTATTCCTCCTCCAACTCATCCTAAATAATAGCATAGGAGACTATATTATCTTTAAGTTGTGGTTAAATGGAGATAAGTAGTTCCTCAAAACTGTAAGACAGAGTTTGGTAGTTTATAACCCCCTAGAGTGGAGAAAGAAGTGAGATTTTGTCAATCAAAAGGAGATTTTGAGCTCAGTTCTTTAGGAAGGAAAAATCTGTGGCCTATCTTGCTTCATTACTTAGCTTCCAGAACTTTGTGTATGCCAGTGAAACTTTGTGTCTTAGTGTTAAGAAAAACTGTTTTCAAAGATTGGGTTTTCTAATAGCCTTTATCTAACAGCAAAATAATGGTGACATTATTGCTGGTTTTTGTAGGTCATAAGGTCTGTGCACTGCAAACCCATGTTCACAATACAATGAAATGTTGTGGAATGACAAATGGTGAATAATTTAATATAATCAGTGGTAAAAGTTGGTTAAAAAAAACAACAACCCAAAAATGATGGTTTCTGCATCCTTGATTTTTAAAAGCCTATTTCAAAGGACAGCAACTTTTGAACATAGGGCTGGAGTATTGAGAGTGTATTCCTGGTTACTAAAAGACATCACATTTGTATATGTGAGACTTAGGATTTTTTTTTCACTTTAGCTAACTTTTAATATGAGTTCTTTTCTCAGTAGAAGTATATTTGACCATCTCAGACATGAATATGCAGATCATTAATTTATTGAATAAAAACTATCTGGATGAAATATTCCATTTCTCTAGAATATCAAATAAGTAGCTCATCAGAAAAGATTTTAAAAGAACAAATATGAGCTTTGAATTCAGAATAGCAGCACTTGTGATGAGATATAACAATGATCTAAAAAGGACTCAATGAATTATAGACTTCAGAGAATCCAAGAATTGGAAGGAACCTCTGAGGCCAACTAATCTAGCTCCATATATGAGTAAGGACCCCCTCTATAGTGTATACAAGTCATTCAGCTTTTTCTTGAAGACAGGTAGTGAAAAGCAACCTCCTACTTCCTGAGGACACTTACTCCATTTATTAGATAGCTCCATTTAGTAGGAAGTTTTTCTTTACATTAAGGAAAAATCTGCCTCTATAGTCTCTACCCATGTCACCTTTTGGATATTGTTCCCTAAGTCTTCTCTTTTCCAGTTTTAAAATTGCTAGTTCCTTCAATTTGTCTTCTTATGGCATGAACTTAAGACCCTCTTCATTATGTTGGTTATATCTAAAATACATTTATCCCAGTAATGATGAACCAATTGTAGTCTTTACTAGAAGTTTAGTAAAGATGTTTAATTGCTTCTGCATAATGAAGAATTTTCCAAATTAATGACTAAACTATTGGTCAGAAAATATTCTGCATCTCTATATTGATTACTAAAAGTATGATCTTTATATACATCTTAAGTTTAATTTCAATTTATGAAAAAATAGATTTGTATCTGATATCTCTTTGTGCAGTGTTTTTAAAGGCATTCTGTCAATGTTAGGGAACCTTTCACCCAAGACTTCATTGCTATTTTTTAAATGATCAGATACTCTCCCTATTTCATTAGTTTAGGGCCCAGTTTTTTGTTTTTTGTTTTTTTTTTTTACTTTTCTCTTTATAGTTGGCCCCGTATAGCCTATAGGTAGTCTTCTTTCCTAAGATGACTTTCCATCTACTTGATATGTGTTTTGTAAGTTCTAATTTATTTACATGTTGTCTTCTAGATTCGTACATAAGCTCCTGGGGTGGGAGTGGAGGGAGAAATTGTTTTTGCCCTTCTCCTTAGTATTTAGCACGGGGCCAGGTAAATCACCAGTACTTAATAGATTTTTGTTGGTTGATTGATTGAAGTTGGGGGAGGGGGAGGAAACTCAAGTGAAAAAGTATATGGATTCCAAAATATATCCTGGCTTTCACTTATGATTTAAAAAGTTACTTAGCACTTTTAATCTCGCTATCTTTCATCATTATTCAGAATTTCACCAAGATAGATAGGAGATTTCATTAGACATTAAAGTCAAAATATGGGCTATATAAGAACTATCTTGTTCAAGTAATTTTTTTGGGGGGGGGTGTCATAAGTAACTATGTAATTGATTGTGTTTTCTAAAAAGAGTTACAAATAAAGGGAAACAATTTGAAATAGTGTTTCACAGTTTATAAAAACTTACCTGTCATCTAGAGTATTAATAAATGTTATTTTATATAGAATTTGAAAATTAATTGCCAGTACTAATCATTAACCTAAGTCTTCTTAAAGTAGACTTTGTTCTTATACATGTTAAGGTGCTAATATCATGTTTTACAGTGGATTAAATTATGAACAGTAATTTCTGTCATGTTAGTCACTACAGTAGAATTTTAAAAGCTTCTAATCATTACTTCCATTAAAGTGTTCAGAAAATAAACTTCTCCCAAATATGAATATTCCTTAAAATATAAAAGAAATCTTTTCCATGATGCTTGTTTCTAAAAGGAAGAAAAATGTAAGAGAATGTTGAAATTCTTAAATAACCAAAATCCATTAGCTTCATTTGGGCATTTACATTGCCATCTGTGAGGAATAGCTACCTTTAAAGTTTTAAAATTATATTTTTAACTTAAATAGATCCTGAACTTATGAAGCAGATTCTTTTTTTCTCTTGAATTATAATGTTAATGCCAAAACCATCCTTTGGCACTCCATCATTCAATATTTACTTTTGAAAGTCTTTGTTGAAGTTCACATGGCCTATAAGTACTTTCCAAATGTCTTAGCTAAAATCTTTCCTCTCATTTTCATTACCTTTCACTCCATGCAAGGAGTTAGAGTCAGGTTCAGTGTGTTTAAAAATAAACAAAAGGAAACTTGTTCCGAAAAAAATACCGTTTTTTCCTCTGTTTTGTCAATGAATGTTCATGGGTACTTCTTAAGTGTTAGACTTTTGAGAGTATCACTCCCTAAAAATTCCAGTGCAAAGATATATTCAGGAAATCTCCATGGATATACAGTAGTATGTTTTCATTTGAATTTGAAGAAAAAAGCATCATAAGTACTGAAATAATAGCTATGAAGAAATATAAGCAAATGCCTCTAGCAAAGAATTGTATACATTTTTAACATGTTCATCAACAGAAGAGAAATTGGAGGGAAAGAATCAACATTGGCAATAAAACATTTACATACCTACATATGCAGATGATTTTTAGTTTTAAAATCACCATAAACAAATAAGCTATTAAAAAGCAAGAAAGATGAAATATTTAAGTAGTTACATAGTATCAGAAAGTGAAAAGTATATGGAAAGCCAAAATGAAAATCGGAAAGCAAAAAGTGTAATCTTGTGAACATTTTATAAAACAAGAGACTTGGGAGCATATATCAAATAATTTGTCAGGCAATGAAATGAGTAATCAAATATAGACCTGAGGTGAAGCTTTTAATAAGAGAATCAAATCAAAGAATTAGATGCATTTATTTTAGCAGGCACATAGAGAAAACCACATTTTTCTTCTTTTGCATTGAATATGAGATGCCCACAAATCATTTTGATATCTTGTAACTCTTGAATGTACTTTTTATATAATTTTGTATATTAAAGTTGTCAATTTTTGTCTTATACCCCTAAATAGACCATAAGGCCCAATGATGGGAGGTATTTTATCTTATCTTTTTATTCATTCATTCATTCATCAATCATTAACTGTCTGCCATGTATAATACACTGTGCTAGGTGCTAGAACATAGAAACAAACACATATGGCTTCCCTCAAGGAGCTTACATTTTACTGAGGAGAGAAAGTATATCCACAGATGGGTCAATACAAAAGTATACAAAGTAAATACAAAATGATTTTAGGTGGTAAACTGCAATGATGGATCAGGAAGGCCTATGGTAGGGGACTATGCTTGAACTAAACATTGAAGAAAGCTAGACTTTCTAGGAGACAGAGGCCAAGAAAGTACGTGTGAGGCCTAGGTGAGGGCTGTGTTGTACAGGAATGGAGGTAGGACATGGGATACCATGTACGGGGAACAGTAAGTAAGCCAATTTGATTAGCGTATAAACTGCATGAGGGGTAGTTGGAAAGATAGGTTGGAGTAAGTGCATTC